TAAAAAAGTGATGGGTTTATAATCAAGGCTTTAGATTCAAATATGATCGTACGTGGCAATTCAGCCACTGTCTTAGCATGCCAAGGGAACTAGGCTGAGCTATCATACTCAGCCATTCTGTTTATTTGTTTGGGTAACACATGAGAACATAATTATGTTTTGGGAATATGGGTTTGAAATCTTAGCACTTTGTGTGAATCCAGCCCAGCTGCTTCTCACACACTCAGTGTCTACAACAGCACTTTGTTTCTCTTTGAACAAGGAAGTCTATTGGCACATTTTGTAAGACACCCCTAATGGTAGCTATTTTACTTACATCAACCCCACATGGATAAAAGTGCCTTCTAGAACTCTAGATCAGTTTCTCCTTCAGCCTTTTTGACCCCTGAAAAGTGATTTCACGAGCTCTGCCTTCTTCCTTGTCATTTGCATCAAGTGTTAAGCGGGCAGCTCAAACAGAATACTTATTTCAAACTCCCCTGCTCCATGTCAGTTCAGACATCTTTGCAAGAGTTATTCCTGTCTTCCCTACACTTGGGAAAGGCAGAGAAGGGGACCCAGAGAAGAAGACCTGTCACCAAAAGAATGACATTCTTATCAATTCTTGCTTCTTAGCTTTTCGATTCCAAAGAAGCAATCTTCTTGAAAAGAAAGCAATAAAGCAACAATTACTGAATTATTCTTCTCTCCAAAGACTTTTTCGCTCATGGGTTTTAAATGGGTTTTAAACACATACCCACACAAATATGGCAGCCATGTAGTGAATATCCAACCTCTGGGAAATCATTTTATGAAAGCAATGTAACATATTCCCCAAATTTTGAAAGCGCCCTGTCCATAAAAGGCTGCCTTCTCTGAGCGTGGGCACTTTTTTCATTTCTTCATTATAACAGAATAACAGAGTTGGAAGGGACCTCAGAGATCTGCTAGTCCAACCCCCTGCTCAAGCAGGAAACCCTAAACCATTTTAGACAAATAGTTCTCCAGTCTCTTCTTAAAAATTTTCAGTGCTGGAGCACCCACAACTTCTGGAGGCAAGTCGTTCCACTGATTAATTGTTCTAACTGTCCGGAAATTTCTCCTTAGTTCTAGGTTGCTTTTCTCCTTCATTAGTTTCCATCCATCCATAAGCTGATGGCTTTGCACGAGTTTTCCTAAATTCAATTTTTCTTGGAAGCCAATTGTTCAACCACTTCTCAAAAGGGGTTCAGAATGTGATGTGACAAAGTGTTACTTGCTGTGACATATGATAATAAATCTAACATAAATGAAAAAGGACTTGTGTGCTTTAAATACCTTTCATAGGTATATGCTTTCATATCTATATAATATCAGGGTTGCCAAAATCCCGAGGACTTTTTTTTAGGTTTTTCCTTTGAGTCAGTTTTGCCTCCTGACAACTATTGGGCAAGTTCCTGCAGTTTTCTTAGCTTGATGATGATGATAATAATATTGAGAAGACAGCAACAGACAATAAGTGTCACCTATGTAAAGAAGCTGAAGAAACAGTGGACCACCTGGTAAGCTGCTGCAAGAAGATCGCACAGACTGATTACAAGCAGCGGCATGACAAAGTAGCAACAATGGTGCATTGGAAAATCTGCAAAAAATATCATTTGCCTGTAAGCAAAAACTGGTGGGATCATAAAATAGAGAAAGTCATAGAAAATGATAAAGTTAAACTGCTCTGGGGCTTCAGAATTCAAACAAACACCTGCAACATAACACCCCGGACTTAACCATTGTCAATAAGACAAAAAAGTCTGGATAGTGGACATGGCAGTACCTGGAGACAGCAGAATAGACGAGAAAGAACTGGAGAAGATAACAAAATACAAAGACCTACAAATAGAAATAGAAAAATTGTGGCAAAAGCAAGCAAGGGTAGTACCAAATAGTAATAGGCACCTTGGGTGCAATCCCAAAACAACTTGAGCACCACTTGAACACCATTGGCATTGACAAATTCGCTATTAGTCAATTGCAAAAGACGGCCTTACTAGGAACTGCTTCCATTCTGCGACGATATCTGTAATACCATCAAACATCCACATCTGCCTATCCCAGGCCCTTGGTAAGGACTCGATAGGTAGACAAAAATGCCAAATCCAGTCTGAACATCTGGCTGACTGTGTGATGATTAATAATAATAATAATAATAATAATAATAATAATGATGATGATGATGATGATGATGATGATGTTGGAAGGGACCTTGGAGGTCATCTAGTCCAACCCCCTGCTCAGGCAGGAAAGCCTGAAGCAGAAAAGATGTAGAAGTAGTGCCCTTGCGTCATTCTTCCTAGGGCTGAGAGAGAAGAATTGGCCCAAGGTCATCTAGCTGACTTCATGCTTAAGTGGGACTGGAACTCAGGTTTTTCTTCCTCAAATGCAATAAAAGAAAAAAAAAATGGAATGGTTTCTTTCTTTCTAAGGAGTCACCCGGTCATGTTTCTGGGAAAATGTTTCTTTAAGTTGACCTCTTGATAATATCAAAGGCACCTCGATGTAGTTTTCTTGCCAACATTATGGAAGTGATTAACTACTGTATGGCTGTCTTCCAGGGGATTATTCAACTTCCTGGTCCAGCCTACAGCCCTGGTTTTTATTGGTGGCTGTCCCACTCCAATGATATAAATTATTTAAACAAACCAATAAAACAAATACAAGCAGTCCTCAGTTAATGATCATACATTTGACAACCATTCAGCAGGACTGAACGAGCGGCACTGACAATCAGTCCTCAAAGTGTCTGCCATTTCAGCACCTCTGTTTTGCAACCTTACCTGTGGGCTTCCCACAAGTACAGGTGATCCTGGACTTACGACCACAACTGAGCCCAAAATTTATATCGCTAAACAAGAAATTTGTTAAGTGAGTTTTACCCTATTTTATGACCTTTCTTGCTTAAGAGTTGTTAAGCGAATCACCGCAGTTGTTAGGTTAGTAACATGGCTGTTAAGTGACTCTGGCTTCCCATTGACTTTGCTTGTCAGAAGTTCACAAAAGGTGACACTGCAACCGTCATAAATGTGAGTCAGTTGCCAAGCATCTGAATGTAAATCATGTGACCGTGGGGAGCTGCAAACCGTCCTAAGTGTGGAAAATGGTCATATTTCACTTTTTTCAGCGCTGTTGTAACTTGGAACAGTCACTAAGCGAACCGTTGTAAGTTGAGGACTACCTGTAAAGTCATTGGGAAAGACGGTTGTGAAGGTTGCAAGTTGTTCCTGCTGCTTTTTACCCGGAGGAGCTTTGCTGCAGAATATGAGATCCCAGAGATTTCGCACTGTGTGCATAATGCACACCACACAGCACAATCCATGGCTCTATTGAAAACATATCCCACGGAAGGCTCAAATATAGACTGCCGTTGCTAAAATTATTCATTTCTTTCCCCCAAACACATTTCAGTCCTCCGGGAAGTCAAAGATGCCCACAGTGCGAGAATTAGCAAAAAGAGAAGACAAAGTGACAAGATGTCCCAAAAGTGCTTTTTTGAAAAGGCAACTGGATCTCTTTGTTTTGCTTGAGGACGTTTCGCTTCTCATCCAAGGCGCTTCTTCAGTTCTGATAGTCAGAACTGAAGAAGCTTCTGAAATGAGAAGCGAAACATCTTCAAGCAAAGCAAAGAGAACTGAAGAAACTTCTTGGATGAGAAGCAAAATGTCTTCAAGCAAAACAAAGAGAGTCCAGTTGCCTTTTCAAAAAGCACCTTTGGGGCAACCATGACCTGGATGATTGAATATCTCCATGGACAAAATGTCAGATTATCTCATTTTTCACTGCAGCAGAATTTTTGCTTAGGATTACCTAAGAAGATCAACCGTAAAGGAGAGGAAAGAAATCCAAGCTAATGAAACACTGATTGATGTGGAGAGCAAATGAGGAAGATGTGCAGTGGCATCCATGCCTTCCCTCGAGTTGAAAGTGAATACAGATAGTCCTCGACCTACAACAGTTCATTTAGTGACCGTTCAAAGTTACAATGACACTAAAAAAAGTGACTTATGACCATTTTTCACACTTACGGCCATTGCAGCATCCCCATGGTCATGTGATCAAAATTCAGATGCTTGGCAACTGGCATGTATTTATAACAGTTGCAGCATCCTGGGGTCAAGTGATCAGCTTTTGCAACCTTCTGACAAGCAAAGTCAGTGGAACAGCCAGATTCACTTAACAACCGGGTTAATAACTTGACTGCAATGATTCACTTAACAACTGTGGCAAGAAAAGTCGTAAAATGGGGGAAAAACTCACTTTAACAAATGTTTCACTTAGCAACATAAATTTCGGGCTCAGTTGTGGCTGTCAGTTCAGGACTACCCATACAGGAAGGACTATGACAAGTCCCCATTTTCCAGCATAAAGATAGCTTCCACCGCAGCTGCCCTCTCAGGTCCCAACCTTAGATATTGATAGTTTGCACAAATCTGGGTCAGCCAGATATCCTTCTCTTTCTCTATCAAATCTATGCCTCTAAAGCCAAGACAAGGCTGAGCGATAATTCAGCCACTTTTTCTGCCCAGCCTACCTCGCAGGGCCGTTGTGAGGGTCCAAAGTGGGTAAGGATGCCACAGATCCTTGGCAGGCAACATGCACGCGGCATAAATACAACTGCACCCATTCATACATCGATAAATGAGCTTTAATCCATTCCAATGCAAGCCACCCGTCTATCTCCAGTCATTCTGCCACGCATTGCAATTCCCTTCCTCCCCTTCCTTTTTTCCTTTCCTCTCCTCCATTTTTCCTTTCCCTTTCGTTTCCTTTCCCGCCCCGCCTCTTCCCGAAACCCCCACGCGACGGGCCCGGACCGTCCTCGCCAGCCTCTTCGCCCCACGCCAAGTTCACCCGCAGCCACGGCGCAGGTCGGCGCCCACGTGTGCGTGAAAGGCGTGAGAGCCGGGCGAGGCGCTTGCCTTGTTCCCGGCGTCGGCCAGCAGAGGTCTCTGCCTCTCCCCGGAGGAGGAGCCGCTGCTAGCGGCTTTCTCCCTCCGCGCGGGTTGGGGGCTGCGCTTTTAACTTCAGATGCTTCCGACTCCATTGTGGTTTGCCATCCAGCTGCCGTCGCCGCCGCCGCTCCTTCGAGCTGGATATTCCCTTCTCGCTTTGCAAGGGATGTAGAGCGCCCGTCTCTCTCTTTGTCTCTCCCGGCTGCCCTGGGAGTTGGGCGGCACGAGCGGGGGCCCTGACGCCCCGGGGACGGAGCCCGCTGCCCTTGGTTCATAAGCGGGAGCTTCCAGGTAAAATGAATGGAGCGATCCCGGCGGGCGCACGAGGAAGGGAGCGGGGGAAAGGTCCGAGGGGGAGGGAGGGAGGGACTCCGCTCCGCAGGATCAGGATCAGGCAGGTTTTAAAGAAAAGGCTTTGCAAAGCGGGCGGGGGAGCCGCGGGGGATCCATTTTCAGCCGGAGCTGCTCAGTTCTCTTCGTTAGCCTCCCCCCAAGGCGGTGCAACTTTTCTGGGTTCCAAAAATAGACGACCTTAGAGGGTGGGGTTCGATGCAAGGATTCGTGCATAGGGAGGGATATGCCTCACTCTACTGTTTGGCCGCGAGGGGGGGGGGCGCTGCGTGGAATGATTGTATCGGTTATCAATTGGGAAAGGAAAAGGCGTTTTGTTTTTTTTTCCAAAGGAAAATGGCTTGGTTCCCTTCCTCCCTTTTTTATTGCATTGGCTTCGATGGAGGCCTGGGCTCTCCGTTTGAAATCCTATCCCCCGCCTCCCCCGACATTCAGATTTGTACAGATGGGTTGTGATTGCGGATTGGCGGGTGGTGGTGGTGGTGGTGAGGGGGGGGGGGCGGAATGCTTTGCACACGCTCAGAGGAACTCTCCGGATTCCAGCCAGGCTCTCATTTGAATTTTAATAGCCTTCTTTGGGATTCAGAGGTGGAGGTGTGGGGGAGGGACATGCCCTTGATTGCTAAAGATTTGATTGTTTAATTTTATGAATTGCTCTCTGCATCCGCCTACGTTTTAGGCAGCCCTGTAAGCTCTGCTAATGGAGCAGAGGAGGAGGCAATAAATAAAAGGAGGAAGGGAGGAAAACGAAAGACGGTAAATACCCACGCCTATTCCAAAAGCGTTTGAATGGCCCAGTCTGCTTATTGAGACCAATAAGAAAGTCTGAAATTGTGGGCAAGCTTTGGAGTCCTTCGGGACTCTTCATCAGACTGGATGGGAATAAAATCTGGCTTGCTGCTAAAATCATAAAGCCTGTATCTGGTTGTAGCCTTGAACTAGCGATGTTGGAGGAAATGATAAATATAATTGAATTAGGCCCTGTTTAGTGCTATGCAGTTTGCCCCAAGGAATGCTGGGACAGAAAGAATGAATGGCTGTTCAGCCTCTCTGCCTTTTAAAGAAAATCCAGCACATTTACCTCCAGATTGAAGTGAAATCTCTATTAGTCATGGTGGACAAGAGACCTTAATCGCTCTTAATCTAAACAAATATCTATTCATACTGCATCTTGCCTGCAAGGCAATTAAGGGCGTACATTGTATTCAGAAGGATGCGTAGTAGTTTCCTTCACTTTGCAACAATCCTGTGAGGTAGGTGAGCGCAGGGGGTTATGAAGTAACTTTCAAGGGGGATCTGCTAAGGTAGCCTCTTTCTGCAGACATTCCCCAGCCTGCTCTATGCCCTCTGAATGCAAGCAGCTTCTCAGGGGTTGTCCATTTCTTCCAAGAAGAGATGTTTATGAGGAACATGTTTATGCTTTTGTGGCTTCAGTAATGAGAATTTTTTTTTAATCTCCCCATTCCCGTTCCCTATTTTGCTGAGCATCCAGATTTACTCACGATCCTAAAACATCTTGGCTTGATTTTTATTGTATATTTTTTTCCTGAATGGACCAACACAGCATCCCATGCTTTTCATTTACATATAAAGATCATCATTGACTTACAATTTGTTTATTGACCGTTCAAAGTTACAACGGCACTGAAAAAAGTGATTTATGACCGTTTTTCACCCTTATGACTGTTGCAGCATCCCCGCGGTCACGTGATCAAAATTCGGATGCTTGGCAACTGGTTCATATTTAGCAACTGGTCCATATTTATGACAGTTGCAGTCTCCTGGGGTCACATGATCACATTTGGCAACCTTCTAACAAGCAAAGTCAATGGGAAAGCTAGATTCGCTTAACAACCTTGATACTAATTTAACAAGTGCAATGATTCACTTAACAACTGGCAAGAAAGGTCATAAAAAAAGTCAGTGTGGAAGCCAGATTCATTTAGCAACCGGGTTACTAACTTAACAACTGCAATGATTCACTTAACTGTGGCAAGACAAGTCATAAAATGGGGCAAAGCACACTTAACTATCTCACTTAGCAACATAAATTTTGAGCTCAGTTGTCGTCCTAAGTTGAGGACTATCTGTATAGATTTTCCACATTAAAAGGGCTGAAAAATAACAGGGTAGTGCCTTTTTCTCTGCCCATGGATCATCTCCGAACAGAATAGAATAGAATAGAATAGAATAGAATAGAATAGAATAGAATAGAATAGAACAGAACAGAACCTTGGAGATCTTCTAGTCCAGCCCCCTGTTCGAGCAGGAGAACTTATACCATCTCAGACAGGTGACTATCCAGTCTCTTCTTAAAAACCTCCAGTGATGGAGCGCTGAGGGCATGCTGTTCCACTGGTTAATTGTCCTCACTGTTAGAAAGTTTCTCCTTAATTCCAGGTTGCTTCTCTGTTTGGTCAGTTTCCAACCATTGTTTCTTGTCATGCCCTCTGGTGCTTTGGAGAATAATTTGACTCCCTCCTCTTTGTGGCAGCCTCTCAAATACTGGGATACTGGTATCATGTCTCCCCTATTTCTTCTTTTCTTTAGACTAACCCAGGGGTAGGCAACTTTGGCTCCTTTATGACTCGTGGACTTCAACTCCCAGAATTCCTGAGTCAACATGGCTCAGCTTGGAAACCTCTCCCTTTCCCCTCAGCATGGCTGGCTCAGGAATTCTGGGAGTTGAAGTCCACGAGTCATAAAAGAGCAAAGTTGCCTACCCCTGTACTAGGGTTTTATAAAGTGGTACTAATACCGCTTTATAATAGGTAATAATATAATAGGTAGACACAAGACCCATCTTCATCAAACAGGTTTAATGGTAGAGATGATGAGAAGGATCTGAAAGATGAATGTGGTGAACTCAGTCTGGTGTATTTATGTATTTATTTATTTTTTATATCAAATTTGGAAATGGCCCATTTCACTGAATTAAGTGTAGGGGTAGTCCTCGACTTACAATCACAATTGAGCCTATCGTTTCTGTTGTTCAGCAAGGCAGTTAAGTGAGTTTTGCCCCATTTTGCAACCTTTTTTTGCCACCGATGTTAAGCTAATCACTGCAGTTGTTAAGTGAATCATGCAGACATTAAGTGAATCGTATTTCCCCCATTTACTTTGCTTGTCAGAAACTGGTTGGGAAGATTACAAATAGTAATCACATGATCTCGGGATAGTGCAACTGTCATAAATTCATGCCAGTTACCAAGGGCCTGAATTTTGATCACGTGACCATGGTCATGTGGAAAAACAGTCATAAGTCACTGTTTTCAGTGCTATGGTAACTTCAAACGCTCACTAAACAAATGGTTCTAAGTAGAGGACTATGAATATTTCCATGTGTGTTTTCGCAGATTTTTCTCATTTTTCAAAATAGAAGAGAATATCCGTAGCTCAGGGTTGAATCGTGGGGTCCTTGTCCCTCTTGGAGCTTGATGGTTTTCTTGTAGATGTTTCATTACCCAACTAGGTAACATCATCAGTGCTGGAAGGGAGTAGGGTTTGTCTGTAGCTTGTTCTGCCAGTTTCATCTCTGCCTCTCTTTTTTTCCTGCAGGGCTGGTGGCCCACTGGTAGGATAGTGAGAGTTGTGGTCCAAAATAGGTGGAGGTCACAATATAACCAGATTATTGTCTTTTTGAGGAAGAAAGATGAAAGAAACTGATTTTTTCCTGAGGGGATTCAGATGTAGATTTAGGAGTCTGGAGCAACATAATGCCTCTCTCATTCTCTTATCTAAGTTCTCTTTTTTAACAAGCAGGATAAGGACTGGCCCTACTGTATAAAAGTGGGGAAGGGATTTTGGTGTCTACGATAGAAGGCAATTTTAATGAAAGCTTTGCACTATTTCTTCCTGATATCCAGATATTTTTCCTGTGAAGACAACCAGATATTTCAGAGGGAAATGGCCCAGGCACATTCTGCACAGGTAAATCTATGACAAATGTAGACAGACGGACAGAGAATTTTATTTCGGTCATTGACCAATAAAAATACAGGCAACAAAATGAACAACACAAAACTATCCCCAACAGCAGGAACTATTAGCAACCATTTTGGGGCACGTAGCAAAATTGTGCTACTTTTAGAAAAATAAATTTATCTTGATTATTTAACACATAGTGCAAATAAAAGCTATCAGAGTGCCCCAGAAATTCAAATAAAGGACAGGCAATCAAATGGTGGTGAATGTCCCTGTAGAACTTGCAGTACAGAAGAACATAGACTGTGTCATTTATTAAATTTATATACCACCCACCTCACTATTAGAGTGATCCTGGATGGGTTATAGAATAATAAAAAAAACAGTTTGATATAATGGGCCAGTCACTTTCTCCAGCCCAACTCACCTCACAGGAAAATAGGAGGAGGAAAGTGTATTGGATATGATCACTGCCTTGAGTTATTTGTAAAAAATAGAAGAAGCATATATTGCTTTTTTATCATATATACATACATACAAACACGCGTGCACACACATACACAGAGCCAAGATTGCGAATCACGTTCTTGTAGTCTCTGTAACGCCAATCGTTTGGCTAACGAGCGTATTACACATATACACACACGAGATAATACAAAATGGTTGTGTTTCTATGGCGATCATCGATCATATCACTGGGACTGTATTAGGTTTCATATGGGGGTTTCCTATATTTCTCTTCATTAAATCAAGCTGAAGATAAGGCTCTTCTAAATGTGGGGGTTATATGATATGATTATGAGGCTGGTTTAGACACTAAGAAGTGATTATTTACAATTATATTCTGAGAGGAAGCAGTAATTTCTGTTTGACCTTCTATGTCTAAGAGCCTTTACCTTTTGATCTAAGATTAAAATGGCATCATTGGAGAAACCATAGAGGCTCAATTTCTTTTGGATTGCTGTTTCTCAGGAAGACTAATAGTTGTCTTGTCAATACTCTATCAGATGGGTCACTTTGCCAGGGTTGTGATGTAGTTTCAGCCAATAGGTGAAGATGTACCTTCACTGGAGCGGTGTTGGGTGAACAGCTAGAGCAGAGGCCCTCAAACTGGCTGGCTGGGGAATTCTGGGAGTTGAAGTCCACAGGTCAAACTGGCTGGCTGGGGAATTCTGGGAGTTGAAGTCCACGAGTCTTAAAGTGGCCAAGTTTGTGGACCCCTGGGCTAGAGGGCAGATGGCCTTCCCTTGGAGGAGTTCTAGACCTTCGCAAATGGTGAGATATTTTTTTGTTTTCATTTATTTAGATCCAGCAGGATCTCTTAGGCTCTGATCAAGAAAGACTCTACAGAGAAGTGATGCAAGAGAGTTATAACACCATCTTCAGAGGTGAGATGGTTTCTTACCTATTGTTTTTGTTGTTTGTAGCACCACAAACATAAACTGGCTTTGTCCTGACTGGATTTGAATACTTACCAAGAAAACCATAGAGGTTGTGCATGAGATAGAGTTAAATTTAATTGGGGAATGTGTTAACCTCCTTAAGTAATTTGACTGAAAAATAAACTTTATAGTATTCAATTAACCTAACTCTAAGGGTTTGTAGAAGCAAAGAGTTAGAAATAGGAAATAGTCACTGGATAGATTCAAATAGTGAGTTAAATCGCATTTATTGAATAAACTATAACTGAACTGTTATCATTAAGCCTAAAGCATGGTGTTCAAGCTACAGTTGCCAGGTTGGCATAAAATGCCACGGCCAAAATAAAATATATTTTAAGAAATCATTTTGACTTGATTATTTTTGCCAAACCCATTTACTTTGTCTTCCCAAGAAATGTGCTTATTTCTGTTTGAAAAATGTGCTTTCAGATTTAGGATTTCAGATTTAGGAACTTAATCTAAGTGGATTTTTTTTAGCCACATTATATTTTTTTAAAAAGCTACAAACATAAGACCTTATGAGAAAGAACTGCCCCATCTATTCCTGAACTGCCGATAAATAAGTAAACATTTAAAATGCTTGGTTTTGTTTTTTTTAAAAATCCCAACTAATTATGAGTCCAGTTAAGCAATTCATTGTTTTAAATTGATTAAATCTAAGCAGTTTAATCTTTATGGCATCCATATAGCTAATGCCGAATTTGTGTACAACATTTGCTCATATTTTATCAGAAGTCAGTGAACTGTCTTTTTCAGTAATACGTGTAAGGCTACATTCAGGTAGTCCTTGACAAATGACTGTAAGGCAGCCTGCCCATTATGATTCCATCATAGGTTGTAAGAGTCGTAAAACGGATCGCCCTGATTTTCCGACCTTTTTGTGGTGGTGGTTATATAAACCAATTCTTTGCTATGGCCGGTTTTGCCAAAGACCAGAAGTAAATACCAGTTTTTGATAAAAACGTCGTAAAACCCAGTCATGTGACTATAAGAGGATGCAAATGGACTGATTGCCAAGCGCCCCAAATCCGCAAATATGACCTGGGTCCCCAGCTGTTTGGAACCAGGTTGTAAGTACCCCCAGAGAAGTCATTGGTATCTTCAAAAAATTGCTAAGAGATTTGTCATGAATCAAGGATCACCTGTAGTATTTGCATTAATTTATATTTGTATGTAACAATAAATAATATCGCAGAATATTTGCTCTCCTAAAATGATCTGTAGTTGTTGATAAAACAAGATTGTATGATGACACAATTAAAATGATACCAAAATATAGCATGAGATCTGTCACTATAAATTCTACTGAAATTGAAAAAGAATTTAAATTAAGAATAATTGAAATTTATTTGATAAAAGCAGCAAACACACAAAAAATCCCCATAGCATAATAAAGTGGATTCAGGACTGTAACTCATTAAAAAGATTGCTAGTATTTTAAAGCATAAAAATATGGATATCACTTTGAGTTCCTTTTAGATCAATCTCAGAGGTTCTTGGCAAATCATGCAGTATGCTATATACCTAAATTTTTGAATTATCAGCAGTTAAATTTAAGTTAGTTGTATAATTGCCTGCAATGTATAATGTGGCTCAGTGCATTCAGATAGTCTTTGGCTTACAACAGTTTGTGTAGGGACCATTCAAAGTTACAATGGCGTTGAAGTGACTTACAACTGTTTTTCACATTTACGACCCATGATCACACGATCAAAATTCAGATGCTTGACAGCTGACATGTATTTATGACAGTTACTTGTGTGCCAAGGTCATGTAATCACCTTTTGCGACCTGTCTGACAAGCAAAGTCAATGGGGAAGCCAGGTGCACATAACAATCCATGTTACTTAACAACTGCGACGATTCACTTAACAACTGTGGCAAGAAAAGTCATAAAATGGGGCAAAACTCACTTAACAATTATCTTGCTTAGCAACAGAAATTTTGGGCTCATTTGTGGCCATGAGGCGAGGACTACCTATAGTTTGGGGGGAAGTAATTGGTATTCCAATATATTTGTGGGCCTTCTGTCTGTTGATTGGTTGAGTTTTGAAAATATGCAATTGTTTGCATGTAAGAAAATAATAGAGAGGGAAGATTTACATTCTTAAACTTATTTTGCTAGGTAACAAAAGTTATTGGAGTCTTTCTTTTTGATGTATATACACCTGCACATATGTATATGTCTCAGGATTTGTCTTCTTCCATATTGGCCAGAGAGAGAGAAGCATTCTTTTGCCCCAGTTCATAAATAAGCTACCTCGGATTGGTAGCCTTGCAGAGCCAGAGAACTAGCCAAAGACTAATGCTGGGTGGGGAATTCTGGGAGTTGAAGTCCACAAGTCTTAAAGTGGCCATGTTTGAGGACACCTGGGCTAGAGGGCAATGACCTTCCCTTGGAGGAGTTGTAGACCTTTGCAAATGGTGACATTCCCCCCCACCCCCCGTTTCATTTATTTAGATCCAGTTCATAGATAAGCTATCTTGGATTGGTTGGAGACTGAAAACCAGTGCATTGTGGAAGGTGCAGGGAGTTGGACTGGGATGGGGGAGAGCCAGGCTCAGGTTTTTATTTTTCTATGGACATTCACTGAGAGAGTGACTCTTTCTCAAGCTAGGATTGTTGTAAAGGTGAAAATGAAGTGCGGTGCCATGTGTATTGCCTTGAACTCTTTAGAGGTGGAGAAAAGGTGAGATATAAAGCAAAGGTAAAGCTTTCCCTACCTTGGCTGAGGGAGCCAGACATTTTCTATGATCGTGTGGCTGACATGAGTATACGCCAAAGGCACACGGAATGCTATTAACCTTCCCATCAAGTGGTACCTAATTATCTACTCCAGCGTTTCTCAACGTTTGTGTGACGGCGACCCCCATCACACGGACCCGCCACGCATGCGCGGCATGGCGCGCATGAGGCGGCGCCGCCCCCAGAGGGGGGAAAATGGCAGATCATGTTGTTTGGCGACCCCCGTAAAATGGTCGTTCGACCCCAAATGGGGTCGCGACCCATAAGTTGAGAACCGCTGATCTACTCAGATTTGCATGCTTTTGAACTGTTAGCTGGGCAGGAGCTGAGGCAGGAATGGGAGCTCAGGTTTCAATCCTAGACAGTCAGCTTTCCAGCTGACAAGCTCAACAACATTTGAGCCATCGCACCCCGAGATAAAGCAGATAATGTGAAGAGAGATGCTACTGTCGCCAGCTTCTTCTCTTGCCTGCACGAAAGCCTCTGCTTGTTTATAAATTTTCTGCAGCAGAAGAATATATACTTTAGCTCACTTGCTTCTTTGCTCTCTGTTTCCGTCTCTCTCTCTCTTCCAGCTTCTCCTCTTCAGCTTCAAAAATCTGAACTCCTGGCGCATCTAAAACGAGGACAGGAAGGACTTCAGAGTTCCAGCAATGGTACTGATCAAAAGCTGGTTAAAGAAGCCCGGAAGAAATGGCCAGAAGCAGGAACCTGGTGGAATTCCTACCGGAGTCCCGTGAGCGTGCCCACTTCAGATTCATCGAGTTCAGGTCAGGGTTGCCCCTAAATCTTGGCATCCTCCTGGGGTCACCTTTGTAGCTTCAGACATTCTCTGTCCTCAGAAATGGCTTCATCTATAGATGTCTACCTAGAACAGGGGTAGGCAACCTTGGCTCTTTTATGAATCGTGGACTTGAACTCCCAGAATTCCTGAGCCAGCCATGCTGAGGGGAAAGGGAGAGGTTTCCAAGCTGAGCCATGCTGGCTCAGGAATTCTGGGAGTTGAAGTCCACGAGTCACAAAAGAGCCAAGGTAGCTTACCCCTGACCTAGAATATCAAAGTGGTGATAAACCCTGGATAAAGGTTAGTCCCCCGACTTCCGACCACAATTGAACTGAAGTTTTCCATTGCTAAGCAAAACAGTTAAGAATTTTGCCGGAGTTTATGACCTTTCTTGCTACAGTTGTTAAGTGAATCACTGCAGTTGTTCAGTTAGTAACATGGTTGTTAAGTGAATCTGGCTTCCCCATTGAATTTGCTTGTCAGAAGGTCACACAATTGACACTGAGGAACCTGCAACGGTCGTGAATGTGAAAAAAATGGTTATAAGTCACTTTTCAATGTTGTTACTTTGAACGGTCACTAAACGAGTGATTGTTAAGTCTAGAACTACGGTACATGGTTAAGGTGCTAGCCTGGAAACTAGAAGATGGTAAGTTCTGGTCGCTTCTTAGCCATGAAAGCCAATTAGGTGACTTTGGGCCAGTCCCTCTCTCTCAGCCCAACCCACCTCACAGGGTGGTTGTGGGGAAAAGAGGAGGAGGAAGTCTTAGGTATATTCACTGCCATGAATTGTTTGTAAAAATCTAATAAGTATTACTTAACTTTAGGAACTAAGATCCAGTTCATTTGTTTTCCCTTTTTGGTTTTTGGAATCTAGATATACCATATTTTCCGGCGTATAAGACAACTTTCTAAAGCGTTGAAATCGGCGCTGAAGTCGGGGGTTGTCTTATACGCCGAGTCGTCTTATACGCCGGAAATTACGGTAGTAGTAGTAGTAATAGTGGTGGTGGTAATGATGTTGATGTTGGAAGGGACCTTGGAGGTCATTTAGTCCAACCACCCTGCTCAGGCAGGAAACCCTATACCACTTCGGAGAAATGGCCATCCAGTCTCTTCTTAAAAACTTCCAGTGTTGGAGCATTCACTGCTTCTGGAGGCAGGTTGTTCCACTGGTTAATTGTTCTAGCTGCCATGAAGTTTCTCCTTAGTTCTAGGTTGCTTCTCTCCTTGATTACTTTCTATCCGTTGCTTCTTGTCCTGCCTTCAGGTGCTGTGGAGAATAGCTTGACTCCCTCTTCTTTGTGGCAGCCCCTGAGATATTGGAAGACTGCTATCCTGTCCCCCCTCATCCTTCTCTTCATTAAACTAGACATACCCAATTCCAGCGATCGTTCTTATAACTATTAAATCAGTCTAAAATTGCATGCTTTTGTCTTTAAATGTCAGGATTGATATGGCTGAATAACCTGGAATGTTCCTGTTGTGAGATGAGAAAAATGTTCACAGCACGAATCTTAATTTTGTCTACCAGGCTCTTTTTTTTTTCCTCCTAAATTCAAAGCCCAAGCCTGATTTCGCCTTACGATCTGGAACGTGTCCCAATCCACAGTTTTGTGATGTGGTGAAATCTCCAGCTGGAATGGTGTGTGTGTGTGTGTGTGTCTGTGTGTGTGTGAGAGGTTAAGAGGCTGGTTAGCTTGGAATCCTTGCAGGGAAGGAAGAAAGGAGGAATCCGTCCTCTGGCTATTCCCAAGACAAATGCAATTAGTCTGGTGAGATTCTTGTACAGATAGTTCTCAACTTACAGCAGTTTGTTTAGTGACGGCACTGCAGAAAAGGTAACCTGTGACCATTTTTTACACTTAACAACCGTTGCAGCATCCCCAGAGTCACGTGAGCAAAATTTGGACAGTTGGCAACTGGCATGTACTTACGACAGTTGCAGTGTCCCGTGGTCACGTGATCCTCTTTTGCAGCCTTCTGGCAAGCAAGCAAAGTCAAACGGGGAAGCCAAATTCACTTTACAACCATACCAACTTAACAACTGCAGTGATTCACTTAACCACTGTGGCCAAAAAGGTTGTAAAGTGGGGCAAAACTTGCTTAACGGTAGAAATTTTGGGCTCGGTTGTGGTTGTAAGCCGAGGATTACCTGTAAATAGGAAAGATGTAAATAAAAAAGATGTTGAGACCGTGGAAAGAGTACAGAGAAGAGCAACAAAGATGATTAGGGGACTGGAGGCTAAAGCATATAAGGAACGGCTGCTGGAATTGGGTATGTCTAGTTTAATGAAGAGAAGGATGAGGGGGGGGCATGATAGCAGTGTTCCAATATCTCAGGGGCTGCCACAAAGAAGAGGGAGTCAAGCAATTCTCCAAAACGTCTGAAGGCAGGACAAGAAGCAATGGGTGGAAACTAATCAAAGAGAGAAGCAACCTAGAACTAAGGAGAAATTTCCTGACAATCAGAACAATTAATCAGTGGAACAACCTGCCTCCAGAAGCGGTGAATGCACCAACACTGGAGGTTTTCAAGAAGAGACTGGATAGCCATTTGTCCGAAATGGTATAGGGTTTCCTGCCTAAGCAGGGGTTTGGACTAGATGACCTCCAAGGTCCCTTCCAACTACCACTACTACTACTACTACTACTACTTATTATTATTATTATCATCATCATCTTCATCTGATCGGCTCATGGTTCTGGTTCCTTACACTTGACATGAATCTTCTCAGACTAACTGCACTCTCTCGGGAACAGGCAGATGAGGCCTTTAGAGATTTGGCAGGTTGGGAGGGGGGGGGAGAAGAGTGTCTGGTCTCTGTCGCTTCCTGCCTTGCAGGGATTCCAGGCTAGCCAACCTCTTCCCTCCACTCTTAACTGGGGAGCCCACCACATTTTTACTGCCTGTTTGGAAACATTCTTTTCTGCTTTTCTCCCAGCAGACGATGACGTCACAAGCGAGAAGGAAGAGGAGGAGAGCGTTCAATGGAAGAACCAGCGGATTGGGAAGCCACGGGCTGCTTTGTTAGGCCAATGGGAGAGCGTCCAGCGGCAGGGGAAAGCGTGCAAGATTCAGCATAGCCGCCTGCAGAACTCTCGCCCCAGTGTTAATTGTGCTGATGTAAAAAAGAAAGGCCTTCTTGCCGGCAGTGACAGCCAGCAAGGAATTAATACTGAAGAGGGCCAGAATGAATGCACTGTATGTGGGAAAAGCTTTGGCAGGAGATCATCCCTCATCAGACACTTCAAAGTCCACAGTGGAGATAAACCTTTTAGGTGCTCCATCTGTGGCAAGTGCTTCCTGGCGAAAACCAGCCTGGTTTTACATAAAGAGAGTATGCATAAAAAACGAAGAGGAAAGAAATGTTGGGAATGTCGTGAGTGCGGGCAGAGCTTTGCCACGAAAGCCTTTCTGATGGAGCATCGTGAGATGCACAGCGGTGAGAAGACGTATCCGTGCCCTGCCTGTGAGAAAAGCTTCGCGGAAACCAGGCACCTCGTGAAGCATCTTATGACCGCTCACTCAGGGGAGCATGTCTTCAAGTGCCCTGTCTGTGGCAAAGGCTTCATGAAGGAGAAGGACCTCATGAGGCACCGAGCAAAGAACCACGGGAAGAGCCACTGCTTTCTAAGTCTGGACGATGAAAACGGCTGCAAGGAAAAACCATCCCCAGTCAAACACAAGAGACTTCATTTGAACCCCGACATTCTGCCTCGTGCCACGTACGAAGGAAACGCTGGGGTGGGGCGCGCCCTTCGCTGTGCTCATTGCGGGAAGTCTTACAAGCAGGAGAAAGCTTTTATTAATCATCAGAATGTTTGTGTGAGACAGCAACCAAGTGCTGAAGGGAAAATCCCCAAGGGAGACGGTCCTCCACTCACTAAAAACCAGATCACCCACGTGGAAATGAACGATAACACTTGCTTTGACTGTGGAAAACCCGTCTGCAAAAGTTCACCGCTGGCCTCTGAGCCCAAGACGGACCAGGAGACAAACCTCCAGGTGTGCCCGGAATGTGGGGAAAGCTTTAGAGACGGCCAATGTTTTGCAGACCACCTGAGAAGCCACCAAGAGGCGCCATCTTCTCAAAACGCTTCCAGTTGCAAGGGCCTCGGGGGAAAAACACTGCCCATTGGCCGGCAGGAAACGCAGGAGAAGAAGAGCCGCTACCAGTGCCAAGGCTGCCGGCGAGACTACTCGACTCATTATAACCTCAGGAGGCACCAACGCATCCACACGGAATGCCGGTCCAGAAGGAACGCTCACAAGGGGAAGGATGCCGCCTGCAGCTGGTTCTTCCTAGATTTTCAGAAAGGCCGTGGCGGCAAAGAACCGGCCCTTCAGCACAAGTGCACCTACTGCGGGAAAGGGTTCAAAACGAAAAGCACCCTCGGTCGACATCAGCAGATCCACATCAAAGGCAAGCCTTACAAATGCAGCATCTGCGGGAAAGCGTTTGTCTACTGGTACACCCTTGCTCATCACCAAGAAATCCATCTGGAAGACCAGCTCTACCAGCACAAGTGCTCCTTCTGTACGAAAGCCTTCAGGACCCCGTCTGCCCTCCGCCGACATCAGCAGCTGCACAAGGAAGGCAAGCCGTACATCTGCAACATCTGTGGGAAAGCTTTTGCCTACAGGTACAACCTCACCCATCATCGGGAAATACACGTAGAAGGGCAGATCTATAAGTGCTCTTTCTGCTGGAAAGCCTTCCGAACCAGCTACTCCCTCAGCCGGCACAAGCGCATCCACACGGAGACCAGGTCCTACCAATGCCCTACTTGCAGGAAAGCCTTTGGAACAAAGTATTCCCTTTGGAGGCATCAGGAGATGCATGTGAAAGAGGATCCAGACAGTTTGCTTGGCGGGAAAGAGGCTGGGGATGACTTGGACAGAGATCAAGCTAGCGGTAGCGATGACAGCGTGGACAAACAGGTTGCCAGTTCGGTCCACTCTCAATACCAGGGAGTCCACAAGGAAAAAAAACCTGAAGGTTCTGGGAATAGGAGCAGCTCACCCCTTCCCAATCATCAAAGCCCCCGCATAGAAGAAAATGCTGTTAAACAGTTGGACAGTCAGACTTTCAGGAACGTTGAGTTAGGGGTTAAAAGTCAAGACAGGCCTATAAAAGGAGAGATCCAGCAGTGGACCAACGGTTCGGTGTACACAGGACAGGGAGTCCGATCGGAGGAATGTCCCCCAGGGTCCTCTGAAAACGGGCAAGTTTTCTTAGGCCGCTTGGAAAACCAGGCCATTAAAGAGCCAGCTGACTGGTGTTTCCTAGGTAAATTGCCCGGTGTTGGTCAACAGGGAATGGTCCTGCAGGAAAAGAAATATACTTGCTCTAATTGTGGGAAGTCCTTTAGAGATAAATACTCCCTTACGAGACATCAGAAAGTCCACATTCCTGAGAGACCCTATCCGTGTCCCAGGTGTGAGAAAAGTTTCCGCAGCGCTAAAGACCTGGAGAAGCATCAGATAACCCATTCGGATCTGAGGCCTCATCAGTGTGGAGAATGCGGGAAATGCTTGAAGACGAAATACTCGCTCGATAAGCATCAGAAGACCCACAAAGGGGAAAAGCCGTTTTGCTGCTCTTACTGTGGCCGAAGGGTTACCACGAGCACCATTCTTCGGTATCATCAGAGAACCCACACCGGGGAGAGGCCGTATAAATGTGCAGTGTGTGATAAAAGTTATATCAGCAAGTGGTCCCTTAAAAAACATTTGGAGCTGCATTACAAAACGAGTCTGCCAAAGGACCCTCAGGAAGCAGATCCGCTCGATCAGAAATTTTAAGGTGTCTTTGTCACTTGTGGGTGAAGAAACGGGATACCTTTCTGGTCCATAAAGGTTGGAGGCCTTTAGAATTCCCAGGTTCTTTCTAAGCCCAGTGACTAGCTACCTCAGAAACAGATTTTTGAATGTACTTTACCTTTCCAATCTCGAATCCTTCTGACATCTTTGCTCCAAAAATGAACATCCTTGTCACGAAGAGCCTGTAAATAAAGAGGCTCCGTTTATTTTGAATGAGTGGACTTGACTGAGAACTTGGCTGCTGGAAAAAGTGATAAGAGCATTGATCCTACAGTTTAGAGTGAAGGCAATGATGGGTTTGAGCTGTCTTTCATTTCTTAATATTGTTTTCCCATTGTGAAAAGCAAATGTGTTTAAAATAATTCCTCTTCTGCAGTGTGTATATGTTAAAAAAAAAAAGAGACACAGGACAATTTTGTCAAAATATTTTAAGCGTGGGTGAGAAGGTTGTAGTCTTGTTTTTCATAATGAAAATACTTCTGGTTTATGCAGTGAATGATAAAACAGATTAAATACATGAAGTTTTTCCAATGCACTTCGCATCGCAAAGAAGACATTCAAGGGTCAAATATTCTAAATCTTCCAAATGTTAGGAATTTGCATTTTGGGATCTGTAGTCAATAATACAAAACAGTTTTCCATACATTTTAGGACCTGTTTTAAATTGAAAGCCATTGTTTTACCATTGGTAAAGTAATTCAGAAGTTCATTGACACTCTCTCTCTCCCTCTCGCCTGCTGGTACCACTGCCATGTTACACGATAGGGAAGAAGGAATCTCAAGTTATTGGAACTGCAAGGAAGATGCAGGCTTTCTCTTAAACGAGGGAGATCTACTAGTATGCTGTCTTGGTTGCAAGTAGAAGTTTTACAGACAAAAATGAAAAGTTAACTTCCTTGGACGATGTCCCTACCATTTTCAGTTATGCTTGCTTGAAATGTTACCAGCTGTAAAGGATCTGAAGCTACAAGAAGTGGAAAGTCACAGTATTATACTGATACCAAATACCGAAATGCAAAATCAGAATTCTCTAATTTTAAATAAAGTGGAAAGTCCCAGTGTTACGGTGAATTAAGAAATACTGAAGTATAAAGTCAGAAAAGTTGGAATTTTTTTAATAATATGTAAGGACCCTAAAATGATTGTATGAAATCTGTTTTAAATGAAAATGTTTGTCAGTCGGGAATCTTGCATGGACATTTTATGACTGTAGCTGTTTTATTGGGAGAATTGCAATTTGCTACAGGTTATTAAGTAAAGCGTGAGTTGCATTATTTCTAGTGTCAGTTCTTTATAAAATATTTGTTTTCTGCAGCCATTTTTCCGGATTTTATTTGGGATGAGATGGATAATTGGAGTCAAAAGGCTGGGTTTCACTGAAACGTTAGCATATTTATTCACACTAGCAGAAAAATAAATGGCACAGACATTTGCTGTCATGCAACAGAGCTGAACAAAAAAGTGCCTGCAAAAATGGGATTTGTTTTCACTGGCAATCCAGAGGCTGCTGCATTTCTAGCTGAAATAATGGAGGACTTGAGAGGGGTATGCTGTACTGCAGCGTTTCTCAACTTTAAGATGCGTGGACTTCAACTCCCAGAATTCCTGGCTGGGGAATTCTCGGAGTTGAAGGCCACGCATCTTAAAAGTTGCCAAGGTTGAGAAATACTGCTGTATTGGTTTGTGTTTCTGAGCCAACCCAGAGAGGTTTACATTGAATTTTCTTCAGAGCTGTAATTGTTAACAACACTTAGGCAGCTGAATGTAGCTTTTAACTCAAAGCAGTGTTTTTCAAACTTGGCCATTTCAGGATATGTGGGCTTCAACTTCCAAAATTCCTCAGCCAGCATGGGTCTCATGCTTACATAAGTATCTTGTCAAGGATTTGGGGAGAAATAAAGTGCTGACTTTCTCGGTAAACAGAGTTGCGTTCTCTTTGTGCGGTGGAGATGAGCCCTGTTGTGGGATTCAGTATTATTGTGTGGCACCTGGATTGGAATTTCATCTGTTTTGGGTAAGTATTAAGTAGTGAACATGACCCATGCTGTCAAAAGCCAGAGGAAACTCACCCTGTTTCTGTGGTTTTTAATTTCATTAGCCAGATGAGTTGGGGATTCTGTTTGGAAATTACATCTGAAGGACACCATGCTGGGAAGGGTAACATTTGGGTAGTCCTGTTTCCATTTTGCCTTGGAAAACCCTGCAGGGCCCCAGGAAATTATCCTGCAGATAAAACTCAGGAACTAGCTCCTGTCCATGGTGCTGTCCTTCTTGACCCTTAAACTCCCCCCCCCCTTTTTGCCATCTTCCTCTGATTTACTGGTACCTCACTGATGTGCTATGGGTCTACAAATTGTCCTTGGCTTACAGCCATTTGTTTAGTGACCATTCACTAAAAAAGTGACTCATGATCAATTTTCATACTTATGACCATTGCGACATCCCCATGGTCATGTGTTCAAAATCCAGGTGCTTGGCAACTGGAATATATTTATGACAATTGCACTGTCCTGGGGTCATGCAATTACCATCTGTAACCTTCCCAGCCAGCTTCCAGCAATCAAAATCAACGAGGGAAGCCAGATTTGTTTAAAAACTGCATGATTCCCTTAACTTGGGCCTTCAACCTTGGCCCTTTTATGACTTGTGGACTTCAACTCCCAGAATTCCTCAGCGTGCCTTGGCTGAAGAATTCTGGGAGTTGAAGTCCACAAGTCATAAAAGGGCCAAGTTTGAAGACCCCCTGCACCATTGCAGTGAGCCACTTAATAACTGGCAAAAAAAGTTGTAAAATGGAGCAAAACTCGCTTAACTGCCTTGCTTAGCTTAGCAAAAAAAATCTGGGGTTCAATTATGGTTGCAAGTTGAGGATCACTTGTTTACTGTGAAATCCCAGCCACGCAGTCCAGGCCATGCTGGTTGCCAAACTAGCAAATGTTTCAGACCACCGGCAGGTTACAAAGATTAGGAGAACCTATTTTAATGGTGTTAAAGGAGGGGTGTCAAACTCAATTTCATTGAGGGCCACATCAGCATTGCGGTTGCCCTGGGGTGTGTGTGGCCTACTGGGTGGCGTGTATGGAGTGGTGTGACCTACCGGGTGGGCATGGCCAGCTCTACATTGTTTGTGTCAAGGGTGCCTGTGGGGGCCTGGGAAGGACAGATCTGAGGGTCTCTGGCAGAAGGGGGTGGGACTGGGACAAGCGCCAAGGCATGGTCCATTTCTTCATTCCTCACAAAGGGAGACACCTCCCCAGTATGCACCCAGGAAGCAGGGCTGACACAGCAGGAGCTGGTTCCTCGCTGTTTCTAGACGGCCTTGTGGAGCTAAGATTGAATGCGTTTCAGCATAGATGGCCACCACAAAATTGTACATTGGCTCCCTCCCGGCCAGCCTGGGCCAGGGCCAAGGCAGCGGGGGCCATTCCCTCACTGTTTCCAGGATGGCTTCGTGGGCCACATGAAACCACTTTGCGGGCCACATCTGGCCCCCAAGGCCTTGTGTTTGACATGTCTGTGTTAAAGGAACAGGGACAAACTGTTAGCAACTGTGAAGCAGGCTGGACCAATTTTCTATTTTCCCGTTTAAGTGGGAAGTGTTTTTCCTTTTATTTTAAGGTCACCAACCGTCCTCCTTTTGTAAGTTCTGTCCTCCCTCAAAAAGTGTCCTCCTTCATGTCCTCCTTTTTGATATTTGAAGACTAATCTGCAGGGCTTTTTTCCCCTCATAGAACGCTCAGAACGGCGTTCTGGCACCTTTTTTTGGTGGGTTTTTTTTTTTCAACTTTTGCATGAGCTGTGCTACTCCTGCTATTGGCTTTCGAAAGCCAATAGAAATTGCTGCTGAGCGCGCCAAAACACCCAGCTGGCAAACTTTGCACATGCAAGTTGTCTGTATTATTGTTCCAATGAATAAAATGTTTCTTTTATTTATGATATTTTTTCTTCAATTTATTTGTGTCCTCCTTTTCATTGTAAAAACGTTGGTCACCTTATTTATACATTAGGCTAAGTCTGTTTTAAGGCTTACACCCAGCTTTTTATATCAGTTACAAAGTGGTAACATACCGGTATTTTAACCAGTTAAAGCAGTGTTTCCCAACCTTAAATCATTTCAAAAAGTATGGACTTCAACTCCCAGAATACCCCAGCCAGCTGGGGATTGAGGTTTACTGCTGCTTCAGATTGGTCAGCCCTGATGTGGAGAGTCACATGGTGGTCACAACCATGTGATTAAAGCCCCACTTCCTTTTTAACATGCAAAAAGGGTGGGGCTTGAATTGTATGGGTCATGGCCACCATCTTCACTTTTTTGGCTCTTCCCACAGATGCATGATTTTCCCCCCTCCCCCCCATCAATTTTGAGGTCAATTCTAGGAAAGGTGCTGAATTCAAGAGTCCAGATTCTGATAGATATGTCTTCTGGGATCAACTATTTTCTGTGTAATTCTAATCAAAGCTGGCTGGCTATTCTTTAAAAGATAGTGGGGGGAGGGGGTATCTCTCCTGCCATAGTTTTTGCCAGGTTCCACTTTGCCAATAGATGGATTATACATACAGCCATTCCAGTCTCATGTCTTTGTGGCCTGAGGCTCTCTTGCAGATCAACCCTTCTAGCTCCTGATATGAAGTTGTTAAGTTTCTCACACAAACCTGACATTTGGGTTCAAACATTACATGAGTGCTCTGGGCAAATGCAGCCATATTTAATAGAGTAAGGCCAATAAGCAGCTCTTTATGGCTGTGACATCAAATTCCATATAAAGCAGAGGTCTTCAAACTTGGCCCTTTTATGACTCATGGACTTCAACTCCCAGGATTCCTCAGCCAGTGCCTGGCTGAGGAATTCTGGGAGTTGAAGTCCATGAGTCATAAAAGGACCGAGTTTGAAGACCTCTGCTATAAAGTAATGGCTGATGTTTCAGTCGTGACTTTATAGTTCCACCATGAAATGTGATGTCACAAGCACATGGCTGATTTGAGAGAAAAACGTATCATTTGTGCAAGAACGTTTGACACTACTAAAAGAGATCTTTGTGATGTTGCCTTTAAATGCAGTTTCCACCCTTAACCATGCACTTCACAAATGAAACAGGAACTGTGGACACCTGCTGGGCAAACAATATTGTAAAACGTTGTATGAATGCTCCAGGGAATGCTTGGATGTAGGAGGCTGCAACAATTTAAAATGAGTTCAGACATCACTTTGAAAGGTAGAACAATCACATGTTAATTGTGAGAGTTCTCCATCACTGGAAGTTCTTAAGAAAAGATCAGACAACCATTTGTCCAGAAGGGTATAAGGACTACTGCTTTGGGCAGAGGATTGGACTAGAACAGGGGTCTCCAACCTTGGCAACTTTAAGACTTGTGGACTTCAACTCCCAGAATTCCTCAGCCAGCAAAGCTGGCTGAGGAATTGTGGGAGTTGAAGTCTACAAGTCTTAAAGTTGTCAAGGTTGAGGACCCCTCGACTAGAAGACCTCCAAGCTCTATATTCTGTGATACTAATATTCACAAGGTTGTTACAGCGACAATGAAATCTGAGAAATACCTGTTATCAGATGATACCATCCTTTTTTTTCAATAGGTTCTTCATGTTTTTTCATGCTAAAGTAGACCAATGCTGGTGCCTATAAATGCTGATGCAAAACATGTAAGTCCTGTCTCCCACAGACATGGAGGACCATTCACACAGGAGTTTCAATTTTTGATTATATGACTCTAGGTTCATTTGATTTGTAAACTAGGATAGCAATAGCACTTAGACTTATATACCGCTTCGTAGAGCTTTACAGCCCTCTCTTAAGTGGTTTACAAAGTCAGCATAATGCCCCCAACCATCTGGGTCCTCATTTTACCGACCTCACAAGGATGGAACACTGAGTCAACTTTGAGCCTATTAGGATCAAACTCCAGGCTGTGTGCAGAGTTTGCCTATAACATTGTATTCTAACTGTTGTGTCCTGGGGCCTGCAAAAGCAGGCTCGGGACGTTGCAATTGTCCCGGGCTGTTGCAAGCTGCCCGGGACCAGACTGAGTGGCGCCAGCCTGCGCGCATGCCCAAGGCGTGAAAGTGCGCCATTCTTTGTTACCTTTTTGCCCGGGAATTCTATTTAGAGGTAGAGAGGCCTGCGAGCCTCTGAGTTGTGTCAGAGAGAGCTGAAGAGAATAAAAGCTGTTATAACCATCAGAATGTGTGCTCTTCTTTCGCTATTGACTCGAGGACTCAACACTAACCACTGCACCATCACATCTCTTTGGATCAGTGGTATATGTGTATTCATGAAAAACTGTCTATTCATTGGTGGACT